ATAATGACTTCTGGGCTGCCAAACAAGTATCGTAAACGCCAAAAGCGATCATTGAACCCTGGAGAAACCATAGCATGCGGTTGGTGTCGCCAAGCTGTTAATAAAGACTATTTCCGCACGCATGCAGCGCTTTGTCTTCGTGAATATCAGAGAAGAAAGAGAAGAACCGATGATTGCGCCGATTCTAGCTTAGTTTCGAGGTAATGCAGCTAGCACTTCGACATGGTTAATTAATTAACTGAACGTGTCTTTTTGCATCAGCCCATTACAGAGACAGCATCTCGAACAAGTACTTTCATCGCCCGATCAACCGGAAGATTCTATTGAACGTGAGAGTGATGCGGCGATCGTTAACGGGCATAGGATAGATGCTAGTTATTTGCAACAAAGTTACAGTACTACATTGCATGCATCAACAAGTTACTGTCACCCAAATGAATTACCCAACACCATTCAAATCGAGGAACAACAAGAACAGCCAAAGCAGATACCGAGAGGAGATGGTACGTATTCGTAATATAGCAAAACTCAAGATTAGAGCAGCTATCAAAGTTTCATATTTGACTTCGCAGAAAGGGACAGAAGTGAAACCAGCAATAGCGGCAAGCTACTGAGGTTCGAATTTTCAGATGCCATCATTCCAAGACCGATGGAAATTATCAGCATGAAAGCACAGCGGATCTTTGAAAATTTTCCGGTTTCCAGAGCAGCACACATGGAATACCTTGGTCTTATGAATGAGATCATTTCAAGCATTGATCCTGGTATGTCAATCACTGTCAGCATACTGGATTGCGAGATAGATTATATTGACAACCCATATAATAGCCCATGAACATGTACATTCACAATACCGATCGAAAAGTGTGATGGAAGATATCTATCCAGTCCAGCCAACAATTTATCACATCTGCGAAAAAAGTTGCAAGATGTACACTGAAGCTGATTTCAGCAACGTATGCAATTACTGTTCCACACCGAGATACATTGCTGACTCAAACACGTTGCCACGAGCAACAATTGAGCAGCTTTCACTTGCTTCTCAACTTGCATATTTATTACACAATCCCGAAACACGCGATCTTCTACTTTACCGACATAATTACGTACACTCTGAAGGAAAGCTTTGTGATGTCCTGGATGGATCAGTGTACCAAAAGATGCGGGCCTCCTTATTCAGTGGGAAGTACGACATTGCCATAGCTCTTTATGCCGATGCATTTCAGCCATTCAAAAATAATGCTGGATGCAAAATGACTATTATCCACTGCACTGTTCTGAACTTTGACCCTTCCATCAGGTATAAACTACTGTTTGAAACCCAATCCTCAACAAATATAAAAGGCCATTGACAAGTTACATATATTATAATAGATATGAGAAAAAGAATATGTTGCAAATATGCCTTATACCAGGTCCGCGAAAACCGAATCACATTTGGAGTTTCTTGGAGCCAACGATGAGGGAGCTCACTATATTGCAAAATGAAGGAATGGAAGTGCAGATCAATGACGGTAGCATTGTCCATGCTCGTGTACACCTCCTTTTGGCTACAGGGGATATACCTGGTGTAGCAGCTTTGGCATGTCACACTGGGCATATGTCGTTCGATGGTTGTCGGATGTGCTTAGTAAAAGGGGAACACCCAGAAGGTAACAACAGAGGAGGGATATATTTTCCCAACGTATCAGCACCTTGGCGCTCAAAGGAGGGTTATAAAAACGCGAATGAGGTACACATGTATTGTTCAAACTTGCTCTACTTACTCTTATAGCTGTATTTGCTCTTAGTAACAATCTTCTCTTATTGCTTTTAGCCTGGTGTTCATTCGCCATCCGCTATGGCTGGATTGGATAGCTTTACAGGCCCTGAATTCTTTGGAATGGACGAAATGCACTTACTCGGTCATGGTATTGCGGAACAACTACTTCAACTGTTTCGTGGTACATACACTGTTGTCATCAATAGTGTACCCAAAAATAGTCCATTTGACATACCAGAGAGCATCATACAAAAGATCATGCACGATTTAGAGCAATCACGAGCAGAAGTTCCGACCGCATTTCAAGGGAGTTATCGTAGTTTGACCGGGTCATCAAGGGTTAGGGCAGTGGATTGGCTTGATTTCATGCTTTATGTTGTACCAACGATTGTTGCACCGCATATCGCCAACGATACTGCAAGAGCAAGACTCTTGGGCTTAATTCGTTCTTGTCAGCTGTCATTGCAGTACTCCTTATATGAACAAGATGTCAAAACAATTCGCATGTAAGTAAATATTGACAGTAGTTAGAAAGCTAATCCTGAATTAATCGTTATATTCAATATGTTATTAGCGGTATACTACAATGGCACGCCTATTTGACCAAGCTTATCCGAGTTGACAAGGTTCTCAAAGTGGCCATATTCACACCGAACCAGCATTACTTAGCACATATTCCGGACATGATCGCGAAGATGGGGCCACTACGATACTATAGTGCACGATGCTTGGAGCGAATGATTGGATGGTACAGCCAACATATCAATTCCACTGCCAGCCCAGGAACAAATGCATCGAATATCATGTTATCGCTTGCTCGAGCGCGCTATATAGACGCAGCTATTCAAAGTAATGCCTTACAAAATGACGATAACCCACATGAACACCAGCAACAATTAGAAAAAGCATGGTCATACGGAGACAAGGAAGATTCATCTGCACCTGAACTTTGGGGTAATTTGAACAGGATGGAATTGGCTGCATTTCAAGAAAGCATTGCAGGCATAAGCAAGTGCGTCTTTTACGAAGCGCTTGAAAGCTACCGTACACGCATAAACGATGTCGATCCCCTTCCATATGCTACGACCGAAATCTATATCAGTGGGCGGCTTTGGCTCAACCACAGCATCTATTCTAGCAAGCTACATCACCATTCAAAGCATCGAATGGCATACATGGTGCGCCTTGAGATGGAAATCGACAGGTACTTTGGTAAAAGCATCATCAAGTGAGAAGAATTTTCAATACATAACTTTTTGTGTGAATGTAGGAGGGCCAGGCGTGGTATAAATTCAGATGTCGTCTTTGCGGAGAAGGCATATTTTGGCAAAATCTATTTTTATTTCACATATGTCAAATCTGGTACCATAATAAGCGCTGGCAATACGAAAAAGCTGGCGTTAATCGGAATTTATCAGCCCAACCTCGAGAAAACGACAGGCTCTCTGTATTTGACGGGATCGAGTACTGAGAAACTATATGTCGTTGAAGCAGAATCCATCACTGATTTTGTTGGACTTTTGTCAGAAACTAGAGCGAGAAACCAGGTCAGGCAGCACATTATCTGGCCTGGCATGGTTAATGGAAAGCACCAACAGGAGATTTTAGGAGACAGAAACCATCTTTAATTACAAAGTAATTTAAACCACCTTGAATAAACATAATTCGATATGAAAGATTCTTCTTTTAATATTTGTTGATACTTATGAGCAAACAAGGAACAACACTAGGATTCTTCTGATTTTCCATGTTTATATGCAAAAGTAGAATTCCATTATAAACTCTGGAATTCATTAAAGAAGGATACTTGAATTATTCAATGTTTCAGACAATAAATTCTTAATCTTAAATTAAAGCTTCTATCCAACTTTTCCCCTTGAATACCTGTGTAATTCTTATATTGATGCTTTATTAAGTATAGTGAAACTGTGATTCCTTGCAGTATCCTGTAATCTTAGGCTAATATTTTCCGCTGTGCTATGGCACGAGCAACCTTGGTGTGGCCAAGCTAAGCAAGCAGCTTTGATACCAATAGGTCATAGTAGAGAATGGGTGCAGTATAGAACACAATCAAAACTTCAGAACCAGTGGACACGTCAGCATGTCAGGAGGACATGGCCCGTTACAGCAGCGGTACTGGGCCAGTTCAAATCTATAAACAAATGGAGAAGGAGGTTGGGATCTGGCTCGGCATAAAAGACCAGCCCCAGAGAGCGTGCAGTGAAGTATTAGATATCATATATTATTGCGGGCGGGATGATACATCGTACTATGCCAAGGCTGACACCAACGTCTAGCAGTGGATTGTCGGGTAGTGTGATGGTGAAAAGAGACGACGAAAAGTACGAGTGGTGAGTCTTTATCGGTGAAATGAATGATTAAGAGAAGGCGCAGAACATTATCATGCTCAGTGGTGGCGAGCTGTCGATACTGTTGATCCAATGGGTCCGATGCAGGCAGGCCAAAGTCAACTAGAAAAGTATTTGAGTATGATGAGGCCAAGCTGTACAGCTTCGAAAAACAGCCAGTGGCGAGTAGATGAAATCAGACCGTCTTATGGTAGAAAACCATGTGTGTCGTCAAAGATGAACAGATCCGATATCTTTATTATCCTGAGGGTAAATGAGGGTCGAAGCGGGGAGCAAGTCCTCGGCACCGGGGCCCCCATAATACACGACAAGGCAAACGGAGCACAAGCATTGGTGGGATATAATGTATGGTTGTGCTAGTTGTAGCAATCGATCGAGGCAAAAAAGGTGAAGCTATGATATTGCCGAAGATTTATTGCTGTAAAAAATGAGGATGTGTTTCAAGTATAAAAAAAACGGTGATCTAGTGCCATATACCAGGAAAGATACTGTAATGCATTGGCGTTAGCGTGATTATTTAAAGGTTGTATCCAAGGTATGTAGTTAGAGCGCTTGTTACTATATTCAAGTATCGATAATTTGTAAATCACCCTGATGCCGTGGTCGATGGAGACAGGATATGGTAATTTTCAAGGAACATGCGAAGTGAAATGAAGCTGGGATGCTCTGTTGTTTATCAAAGTACTTATTCTGCCCCAAATTTAACTTTGAAAGTCAGTTGGGAGAGAGTGTAAAGACAGTTGGAAAAAACATTAAAGTGTACTTGTCATCTTGTTTCCTAAGAGAATTGTATATTTCAACCATGTGAAAGGTAAGTAAAGAGAGAACGGGAGGGGCAAGATCTTACTACTACAATAAAAAAAACAAAAATGGAGGTGAAAAAGGAAGTTGTAAAGAAGTAATAATAACAAACTAAGTTTATTTCTTATATGAAAAGTGGTTTGTTTTTTACCTCCTCTTGTAGTGGTAAGATCTTGCCCCTCCCGTTCTCTCTTTACTTACCTTTCACATGGTTGAAATATACAATTCTCTTAGGAAACAAGATGACAAGTACACTTTAATGTTTTTTTCAACTGTCTTTACACTCTCTCCCAACTGACTTTCAAAGTTAAATTTGGGGCAGAATAAGTACTTTGCTGTGCACTTAGCAATCGAAACATATGTCAAAATCTGCATGGCCTCAGAAAAGGAACCCTCTTTGCGAGATTTTCTCTACACACGCTGTAACGAAGTAGCTGCAAACACTGATTTGCGCACAGATATTAAGCGTATCTGGATTAAGCGATATCAAATTGTAGCGAAGCAGTTGAACGTCGACAACATAGTAGATGTGAGTGACACGAAACTTATCAAATGCAACCTCTTACTGATTTATTTAAAATAGAAAAATATCGACTGGGACGACATCAAAACACAGATACAGAACAAAAAAAAGGAACAGTGCTCGTCGAAAAGAAGCAGACCTACGACATCAACACAGACATCGAAAAGTAGCTCGTGGGAATTGAAGGCCGAAGCAAAAGACCGCTTCAAAAAAGATTACGAAGGCATGGAAGAAGAGAAAAAGTGGTTGCTGCGCACCAAGGAAGACGGTGCCAAAGTCTACCTGGAAGATAATATGTTTCAATACGGAATGGAGTGCGATTATGAGCAGTAAGTCTAAAGATTTTGACATCCAAATTTTTTACTACCCACCACATTAAACACTTACAATGGTTTGCAAATGTGAATAATGTACAGTACCGTCCACTCATTCATAATCGATCCCAAGGATGATTGCTGGCAAGACTTGCTAACAAAGTAAGAGCTTGCAGAAATAGAAACAGTAGGAGGGGATGTTTTCCCTTCGTTGGACGATTCTGTTCAAGAAGTCTTTGAGCAGTGTGAAATGGCGTTACAACCACTGGAAGAGAATGACGACACCAAAGAGGACGAATATGTCAAATGCATTTGGAAGGCAATCACTTCTTTTGGCTTCTTTGACCCTGACGTTCAAGCACAACAATACTAGATCCAGCAATCGCTTCTTGACTTTCTGGATCTGTATCGACATGGAACCATTATCGAAATGATTGCCAACGGTTCCGAACAAGATTTCGTTGTGTGCTGCTGGGGCAACCTTGACCATCGCTTTCAAGGCTTGGAGGAATAAACATTAACACAATGTTAATAAATTTTCTTTAAATTTTCTCTTAACTGACAATTTTTTTTATTCTCAGAGTTTGAAATCGTACATACTGTTAAATTTTATTTAAAAAAAAAACTGAATTTTTTTTTAATATAAAAATAAATACCTCCAATATTACTTGGCATAAAAAATTCAAATGGTTATATTAAATACTGAGCTTCTTATTAATAAGAATAGTATGATTTGTTCTATTAAAGATTTAATGGAGCAAGTTATGCATAATTATTTTGAAAATGAAATGTTAGTTAAAGATATTGAAAGTAAGAAGATGATTATGAATAAAAAAATAAATGAAGAAATTAATAAAGTTAAAGATAATTATTTTTGGTATGTTAATACAAGTGATAATGTGTGCACTTACATATATAAAAGAGGTAAGAAAAATGGCCATATGTGTCACAGAAAAGTTAATACTAATCTTAATGGAGATAAACCTGATTACCTTTGTACTATACATAGTAAACTTCATGTTCCAAAGAAAAAAAATAAAAAATCTACAAAAAAAATAGAAAATCCTAATTTACCATGCACAATTGTTAATGATGGTGATTTTATACATAAAACTAATAATAAAAGAATAAAAAAAAGAAAAACTAGAAAAATATATATATGCAACAGTGGAAGTTTTAACCTAGCAAATGTACTTAAAGGATTATTACAATAATAGGAACCAACGTTATCCACTATACACACTCAAATAATATATCTTACATAAAATAAAATAACTATACATACTTATGATATTTTATTAGGAAGGGTAGAGTATCGAGTTATCTAAGTTAACTTATTAACTTTCATATAGTTATTTAACATATTGGTTTCATTAAAATCTTTCATTGATATGGTGCAACCGATTTTAAATAGACAAAATTTTTAGATTTTTTTGGAATCTATCTAGTCAATGGGAACAAAAAAAATCAAAAAACCAATTCACAAGTCTAATAGAGTGACATATGTAGTTTAAAACTTGTGTTTTAGATTCTTTTTAAAAGTTGATCTCGAGGAGCAGATAGCATTTGAAGTTGGGGACTTTTGGGGACTTTAAGCAGGGAAGGCTGAAATTTTGTTATATTTTCAAAGACCGTTAAGCCGTTTGTGTCACCTAAAATATCAGCAATGTTACACAAGCTTCATGGTATTCTGATATACATAGCTAATTATATTCATGATTGTTCCTTGTTCTTCCTCTGCCTTCTTTTGTATCATTTATCATGCCTAAACGTAAAGGAAAAGCTACTGCTGCCATGAAAAAGGCGCGCTTAAATGGAAAATTTGCTCCTGAGGTTAGATTATATATGCTGTACTACACATCATCATTTGCTGATTAGATATATTCATTTTATGTAGAGTGTCGTTACTATCATAGCTACAGTACCTGATGTACCTGAACCCGAAAGTGTCCCAGCTATGGCTGCAGAAAATACCATCGAAGAGGTTAATCAGCTGGATGACGTGCAGTCATCCATTTTGACCTATGAAGAAGATGTCGACGATTGGATGCTGTGTGGCTTTTCAGAAGATGAACTGAAGGCAATTTTGTGGCGTAGTCTTCTCTCTTGGAAGCCCAACAGTGACAGCTATCTTAGAAGCTCGCATAGGAGAGGTGCATTGAGAGAAATACAAACCATGATAGTTTAAATGCTGATTTAAGCAAAATTTGTATGTAGGCACTTCGGTTATGTCAGTCTGGCGAAAGGAAAAAGATGATAAGGAAACCAAAAAAATCGCAAAAACGTGTCATCGGATGACGGACTTCTACTCTCCTACTGCTACTACAACACCTTCAGTTGCTGGCGATAGCTCCGACTCCACACCGGATCCAACAATCATTGCGGCGCCAACATTGTCAAAAAGTCAGCAAGAACTCGAGCTAATTGTCGAACATATGCCAGCTCTATCAAAAAAAATTAAGCGCGTCTCTAATTCCAAGTCGGAAATAGGTGGTTTGAAAGCCTATGAATCCCTTCGCTTATTAAGTATTTCCAAGTACTTTGAGTGCCGCCAAAATGGCATGAAGAAAGGTGAAGCATGCATGCAAGTAGCAACGACGCTTTGGTAAGGTGGCTCTATTTACCGCAGCCGTGCAATTGGCCATTGGACAAAGACGTATCTCGCTTTGAACGGTCACTTACCATCGCACCGTCAAGGAAAGCATGCCAAGCGCAAATCATTTTTGAGCGACGAGGATGTGAAAAAAGCATGTATTGCTTTCTGGAAGAAGACCAAGCCAGAGCTGCGCTCAGCTGCTTTGTTGAAAAGTGAGCTGCAAAATCGAATAATTCCAGAAACGCTTGGAGTACAAGGATCTGTAGCTGAAGATACGATTTTGAATCATTTGCATGCATGGGGCTACAGATATAAGCGCTACACGAAAAATGTGAGTAGAAGGAATAGGCAGCAATGATGATGTATAATTACGTCAAATATTGACTAATCCTTATAACCCCATAATAAGATTTACTATGACAGACATGAAAGACCTGACGTTGTAGCATACCGCATTGAATGGGCAAAAAGAATGTTGGATTACCGAAAGCTGATGATTCAGTATACAGGTGATGATATGGAACAAGAGATCATGCCAGATCTAACAAACGGACGTCTCCGCCATGTCCTCGTCACTCACGATGAATCCACCTTCTATTCAAATGATGCCAAGGCTGATATTTGGGTTGAAGAAGGGGATACGGTGCTGCGAAAAAAGGGTTTAGGAGGCTCGATCATGGTCAGCGATTTTCTTTGCGAGTGCCATGGTCCAATGCGCCTTGATCCTGGATTTGCCGAACAGCACAATATTCCATTTGAAGCCCGAGAATATTTCAAGGCCGGTAAAAATAACGAAGGATATTGGAAGAATGAGCATATGCTCAAACAGTTAACAAAAAAGGCATTGCCGATTTTCGAGGCACTCCACCCTAGTTGCATTGGTATGTCATGCAGAAGGAAGTTATCTTCAAAATGACTTAAATGTATGCAATTGTTAGGTGTCTTCTGTTTTGACCAAAGCTCAAACCATAATGCCTATGCTGCAAACGCCTTGCGCCCAAGCCGGATGATCCTCAAGGACCAAAAGGTAGAAGACTTGAAGTACCCATTCAAAGCTCAAGGTTACACTTTGAATGAGAATGGATCAGCAAAGCTCTACGACTTTTACTACGAGGACAAGCAGTATACAAGACGCCGTAACGGAGCCCGCTATAAGCAAAGATACTTCAAAGGGATTCAAACGGTAAGATTAAACCATCACAATTTTTCATAAAGTGGGTAAGTACTCAGAACATATACTCTACAAAACATGATATTATAGATTTTGAAAGAAAGGGGCAAATGGCCTGAAGGTGGAGTACGTGCAAGTTGTGGCGCTGAATCAGCAACTAATGTTCAATGTTGTGCACGCCATATTCTTGCAAACGAGCCTGATTTTAAAAATCAGAAATCCGCTCTAGAGGAAGCTGTGAAAAAAAGACATCACAAGTTTGAGCTCTATCCAAAATTCCATTGCGAGACAAACTTCATAGAACGCTATTGGGGCAGAGCAAAGCGTGAAGCACGTTTGCAGTGCGACTATTCTTATAGATCGCTTGAGCGACGTCTTCCAGGAATTCTAAATTCTGTTTCTTTGCCAATGATCCGGCGCTTCGCTGCCAAATCATGGCTTTATATAGAGATTTATGCTGGAGGGAATGTTGATGGCCGCGAAGTAGATGAGCTTTACAAAAAAGCAAAAACTGTCTTCACCTCCCATCGTCGCCCTAGTCGCATGTAATAATTTCCTTTTATAGTAGCGGGATTTCAAATCAAAATTTTGTTATAAATTTTCATTTTTGTCTATTTAAAATCGGTTGCACCATATCCAGCTATTTTGGGATTCATTATAACCTTTCCATTTAATTAGGAATATATAGGAATCATTTTCAAATTTATGATTTATTATGGATTCTATTTCATAAGAAATATTAGAAGTTGAATTATTTCTAATTTTATTTATATCCATTAATGTTCCTTTGCCTTTACCTTTTCTTTTTCTTTTCTTCTCATTAAATTTAGGTACATCTTCTTCGCTGGAAACATCTTTATTATTATCATTTTCATCACTGTATTCATTATCAGTAATCATATCAGTATTATCTATACTTAAATTATTTAAAAACTGTTCCTGTAATTTAACCATTTCATCTAATTTATTTTTTGCCTCAGATGAATTACTAATAACTATATCTATTAATTTAGCTTCGTGTGGAAATTCAAAATTATCTGATTCCCACAATTTATGATGTGCTTGTGTATTAATATTAAACTTTTCACGAAATATTTTTATATTTTTTAATAAACAAGCAACACGAATTTGAAGATTATAAAACTTTATGTTATCCATCTTAACAATAGATTTATTATTATTAAATCTATAAAAATTTATTACCTATTGCAGCAAATTGGTCTTCTATTTTTGAACGGAAGCTACCAAAAACACCATTATAATGCCTTTCTTCTGCTGTTAAATCTACATTCTTTTCTTTGCGTATAGGATAAACAAAATTATTTAAAGATAAATCATATCCTTTTTCCGCACCAAGTTCTATAAGCTGATTAACAAATAAAGTATAACCACCATCTGTTGCCAATACATCTTGTTTAGATATTTTTTTATATAATTTCATGTTCAAAAACATACTTCCGTCAGAACTATCAGAACAATAATCGCTTTTGGAAGCATATAAAATCATATCATTAATATCGCTAACAATTTGTGTACGAACTCCATTTTTTTTAAATTTATATGACCATAATCTTTCATGTTTTATATCAGTATTAACATAGTTAATTCTTGAATCATGACCATCTATTATAAAAGTTATGTGTTTAAAAAGTGGTGGATTATATTTATAAGAAGATAAAATTCTTAAAGTTAAAGAAGAAAACATATTCTCCATAGAATCATTAACAATTTTATTCAACCTTTTATAGCTATCTTCATTCATCCAAAGCTTTTTATAGTATTTGTGAAATGATGTTTGCGGGATAAACTTATTAATTTCAATACCAGAAACACCAGAAACTAAATGATATAATAAAAATAAACCTTTTTCAACTTCAAAATAAGGGCCAGGATATTCACAGCTAGTATATAAAACAACTAAAAAGAAAAAAACAGCTATATGACCAAGTTTATCTACTAAAATCTTTTTAATATCATCAATACCTTTAATATGTTTTAATTCTGTACGATGCTTGTAATTATAATTAACAATTGGCTAGTTATATTCCAAAAATTCCCACTTATTAACAATAATTTTGTTAACTTCATTATTAATCTTTTCATCTATTTGTTGGTTATCCATTGTAATATATTTTTATATTTAATTAAAATTCAATTTTTTTTATATTCAATTTTAAAAAATATAATAATTTTGTAAACATGAGGAATTTTTATAAACCTTGAATATTTTGTTGACCTTAGTTTAGATGAAAAACTTCAACTAGTAAACATCCTCCTTGGGTATGGTAGCCCGGTAAAGTATCAATTTTTGGTTCACCATTCGACTTCTCTCATTTTACTACAGATTGATTATCGCAGCATGGCCCTTATTTTCATGCGGGTTTAAAAGTATTGCTCAATACTTAGTAGCGTAATATCTTACCGTTTGTATACTTTTAACACGAGGAAGGGCCAAGTTGCAATGATTTTCTTTAGTGAAATGATAAACAATCGTGAATATGTTTTTCGTTTCTTTACATTACACTAATCAGGATGGCTTATACAAATTAATAGTGATCGTACATGCCAATCAACATTAGTACGCGTCAACAGTGACAGAAAAGTCAGCGGCAAGAAACCACTTGAAGAACAAACGTCGTTGATCAGACCAGACTTCCTCGTTATAAACGACGGTCTTGATTTCGCCGTTGGTGAATGCGGTAAAGATGATGTTGGTGGCATTTCTAAAAAGGAAATCGTGGAGCGACAACTGCATGTCCCAAAGGTCATGAAGGACATTCTTCATCGAGCACTCATGAAGGGTAACCATGCAGAATCGCTTGCCCGTACGTTGAGAATAAGTGCTCTGAATGCAAACAGTAAGTTGTCAATTCTACAAATTTTCTTAATCATCCAGCCAGATCGTTAATACTTTCTAATTCAGGCACACGCGTCCAAGCCCAAGTGCTTGATTGTCCGAAAGGATACATCTGCCGTTTGATGTCTAGCAATGAATACCAACTCCCGCAAAAAGCAGACATGATTTCGGCACAGCTTTTCCCGTTGATGAAGCTGACATTACAAGTGAAGGTATGTTGTCTTATATGTACTTTGCAAGGTCAATTTAACATTGATATTATAGCCACTGACATACACAATTGTCTATAATAGGCAATCACCAAGAGCACTATCAAAGCATTCAAAAACATCAACGTGCCCAGGCCAAGAATGCCAAACAATCAGTTTTTACACTTAATTCACCATCAGCTCTCGAAATACCCCCCGCATTCACCATTCCTACCCTGAAAAAATCAAAAACGAACGACATCTAGCAATGTCATAAACAGCGCGCAATGCACGCACACACACACACACACTCACGCACACAGCACGCAACGCACACGCAACGCACACAACGCGAACAACGCACACGCACACACTCACGCACACAGCACGCAACGCACACGCAACGCACACAACGCGAACAACGCGCACAAAACACAACACGCACACACCACACACACACACACACGCACACACACACACACGCACACACACACACGCGCGCGCACAAAACACAACAGCACACACACACACACACACACAACAACGCAAACAACAACAACACACACACACTCCGCATCACACTTGTTCTCTTTACATGAGTAACTCTATTTTGTAACTTTTTATTTCTATACCTGTTGTAGTGAAACCTGCTTAGTGGTATTCTATCTCTTTTTCTTTTTTGCACCACTACATACAGTAAAGCAACTGTTTATTTTTTACAAAGAAAAAATACGGGTCACCATATTTTTGTATCCTCGTTGTATATTACTATCCTTCAACCAACCGGTCTCGTGTTATCTTTTGTAATCTTTTTCTTTAAGAAAAGGATATTACCGATATAATTGAAATGACGGTATGCCTTTCTATAGAGAGGAAAGCACGGATTATGCTATATCATGTAAAATGCAGTGTAAAGTCCGAAAAGAAAAAGGTATTACTGTATGTAGTAGAATAGGATACGCACATAACAAGTCTAGAGAATTTAGTAATCCCAAGAAGTAATCCAGCGATGTGGAGACTCAGAGATACTTGCATCCTTCGTGTATAAACAATGGCAGAAACGAGGAACGTTGCGTGGTCTGTGCTCATATCATTATCGGTAACAAAAATTGAACAAGGGGGCCGCTTCTTATGCGGTGCATCTTCCAGCGGAAGATGCCGAAAGGACGATGAAAATCATAGCACACAACAGCTAATTCGGCTTCGCAAAAAAAGCTCTTGTATCCGTACATTTAGCATTAGTAAAACAGCACTTTTAATATCATATTTTCCGTGTACATATGATTTTGTCTTCGTACACTTAGAAAAGCGTATGTCTATTATTATGTCGTGTTTTGTAGGCGAAATGATATTGGTGTGTATATTCCGGGATAATGATATAGTATGTAGTTTCAATAGCAACAACGCAAGAAAAAAAGATGAGTAGAGATAAGCTTACGCGTTGTTAGGCAACAGCTTCACCGGATTAGCCCATTGACAACACTAGTTTATTGTATATACTGTTTCATTGATTAGTCACCCAGCTGGGTTTGGTTGCTCTCTTTTGCTGGATGCATTGTTTTTAAATAGTCCTGCACATGTGAATATTTAGTGCTGACGAAATAGGCGCCACGTAAGAGAAGCTCCTATGTATTCTCTACATTACCCTCTTGTAACATGATGTCAAGAGAATGTAGACAGCTTATGAGGATGGAAGGAAAAGGTAATAGGTAATTGTTCGCTGAGTATGGAGGGATGATTGAAAATTATATATAATGGAAGAAGAAAGACAAACCCCATGGAACGATTGAAATGTATGTAAGAAAAACAAAACTTGTCATGCATGAAAGACGCCACCAAGACACGCCATGATAGTAATTTTGCACATAACTTACGGCAGCAAAAGTAACATTGAGTGTTCATTGAGATTTTGAACGTGAACACAAACGTGATCTTTGGCATAGGGGGGATTTTGTCATGCCTGTAAATGAACATTATGGCGCCTTGAGCTACCACTAACACCAAAGTAACTTTTTGATATGAAGGCTAGATGTCACAGCACTAGGCTATATGACATCTTATTTTTTTATTGATCGTTGATATGACGCTTAAGACCTTTACAGTCAACCCCCGTTTTTTGCAGCCATGGGATTTCGGGAGATTAGGCTGCAAAAAGCGAGAGGCTGCAAAATACGAACGCGTTACACAGGGCAAAATTTAAAGCCGTGAGCTGTCATTAATTATACACCAATGACAGGGTTACTGTAGTAACTGAGAAATATAGTACTGAGACCGACCCAGTTTGTTTATTCCTTTCTCTTCCCCGTTTTCTACTATCCTTAATGCCACCAAAGGCTGATTACATAAAGTTTACCGAAGATCAAACCAATGAGATACAGTAATAAGAATTCAATAGAACATCTTGATATTAAATATTTTATCTCAGATAGCTGATAAGAATATATAGATGGTCGGATAAAATAATCGGTGTATATGCTTAGTGGGAATTTGCAGGGCACCTTTTTTGACCTGCAAACTGCAAAAAGCAATTTTTATTAGTGAAAAATGGGATTTATCCAAAGTTTGCTGCAAAAACTGAAGGCCTACAAAAAGCGGTCGTGCAAAAAACGGGAAAGGCATCCCGGCAAATGCCAAATCGTCAACGGCGACCCCAGCACCAACTGCCGTCTCTATGGAGAGAGCATTGAACAGGTTGCCTGGTTTAACTATCTCGGCATACCTTTCTGTTCTACCGGCATCGAAGTCTCCCGTCTCATCAACCACAACGCCACAAAAACCACTGATGCTATGCGCGTGCTCTGGTCCCTCGGTGCTCACCAATACAGCTTTGGCCTCGGCGTCACCCTTCGTTTGTATCGCTCATTCATCCGCCCATTCTCGAATATGGGTTGGCCATCGTTACGCTTACCGCAACAAATCTCAGAAAATCAAACAAGCTCAAACACGCTGTATCGGCTGGCACTCAACATCACTGCCGTCAGTGCCCGAACACCCACAATACAGGATTTTGCGTTGGAGATGGGGAAAGAAGCCCGAGTTTTAAATCCCAGAGATCATAGTTTTTCATTTTGAAGACTATAGTTTTTCACTCTGGAAACCATAGTTTTTTAATCCCAAAGACCATAGTTATTCAATCTGGAGTCCATGGTTATTCAATCTGAAGACTACAGTTTTTCATTCCGAAGACCATGGTTTTTCCATAATTTTTCAATCTGGAGTTCATAGTTTTTCAGTCTACTAGAGTCCATGGTTATTCAATCCGGAGTTCATAGTTTTTCAATCTGGAGTCCTTAGATTTTCAATCTGAAGATCACAGTTACTCTAACTGAAGATCGCGGTTAGACAATCTGGAGTCCATAGTTTCTTTCAATTTGGATTTCATAGTTATTCCAACTGGAGTCTATGGTAAACATGTGGAGATGGTAGTTTTACAAGCATGGCAAAATTAATAATTAGCTAGTAACTACAACAATCAACTAATAAAGCATAGAGCGATGAATAGTGCAGCGAGAAATTTATCTGAATCTTTTGGTTTTCGTTGCTAGAGCACTCATAGCGATGCTTATAAGTTGTCTATTAAAAAATCCGTCCTTAAAGTGTTTACTCAAAAGAGTTACTATCACTATTTGCCGATTGTTCAGTTATATATAGCATAGCGTATAGCATTATCCTAGACCACTCGCTCCTACATTGCATAGCGCCGGTCAGAAGTTGCTTAAATATCGATGATGAAATTGATGCAGAAGAACACCATAATAGTGACAACGCCAAACGAGAACTTTCCATGCTCTTTAATATTAGTAATTTTTTAGATATGTGCATATACACTTCAAGGCGCTTACGCATGTGTAACATAAATAAGTATGTATGTTATCCAACGCACAAAGTTTCAATGATTTCTCCATTACTTGGTGCATAAAGGCTTATGTATAAACAAGTCTTAGAAATCATTAAACTGTGTGGATTGCTCGTGGTACTCCATTATAGCCTTAAGGCGATCAGTTGCCTCTGAATTGAAAAACCATGATCTTCAGTTAGATTACTATGATCTTCAGTTAGATTAACCATGATCTTCAGATTGAATAACCATGGTCTTTGGAATGAAAACTATGGTCTTTGGGATTAAAAAACTCTGATCTCGGGGATTAAAAAACTATGGTTTCCAGAGTGAAAAACTGTAGTCTTCAGATTGAATAACCATGGACTCCAGATTGAATAACTATGGTCTTTGGGATTAAAAAATTATGGTTTCCAGAGTGAAAAACTATAGTCTTCAAAATGAAAAACTATGATCTCTGGGATTTAAAACTCGGGCTTCTTTCCCCATCTCCAACGCAAAATCCTTATTGTGGGTGTTCGGCACTGACGGCAGTGATGTTGAGCGCCAGCCGGATACAGCGTGTTTGAGCTTATTCGATTTTCTGAGATTTGTTGCAGTAAGCGTAACGATGGCCAACCCATATTCGAGAATGGGCCGGATGAATGAGCGATACAAACGAAGGGTGACGCCGAGGCCAAAGCTGTATTGGTGAGCACCGAGGGACCAGAGCACGCGCATAGCATCAGTGGTTTTTGTGGCGTTGTTGTGGTAAACCACACTACTTGAGATTGATCCGGACAACTCACCCCACTCCGCCGTCTTCGTAACCATTAGAACGCAGTAGAGAGAACACCACACACACGGATGAATCAATTATTACATAATTAGCACCATATCGATAATCTCTCAAACATGGATTACCAATAGAGAATAACTCAGGACCAACCATTGTATACACATTGTCCTATTCTCGAGTTAGTCAGCACTTCCTTTGAATCTAGCTTATCTGAGTTAAGCGAAGTGTACCTGTCAAAGAGCGGATACCAAGTCCAGCACTGACAAAGGTGAGACTTCGCCAAACAAGGAACACACTGATCACGGCAAAGATGACTCTTTACAATCGGAAGACAACGTCCATTATCATGGCCGACAAACTCAACCTTCCCATCCTTCTTCATCTTTGAAACATCCGAAATCCGGCATGTCCGCGATCCATTCATCAGTTCATCCAAACGGAAGTCTAGACACCATCTTCAACAGTATATAAAGGGTTGTGAATTCATTCAATAAAAATGATCGGATATTTGACTCTCACTGTATTTTCATATTATCTCTTATTCAATCTTTTACTCTATCCACAACCCACGTTTATCACATTTTTTACAGTGAATTGTCCCTTTTATTTTTATCTGAACTTACCAATAACTTACCATGTCTGAAATCCAATCCAACCACTCTGACCCTATCACTGACGGCCAAGGTCCAGGCAACGAACAAGCAAACCAACCGACCCAAGGCATGCAAGACCACCAAGGAGGCGAGTCGCATGAAGATGTTGTCATGGGCGACCCTCTTCTCGCCAATCAGGAACAATCATCCAGCAATAGCAGCCCGGAACAAGTCCGCGAAACTGCCGAGGTGTCCAATAGCAATGGTGGATCGAGTGTGCAAGCCACGCAACAGCAGGAATATCTCCGCCAACCCTCATCCGAGGAGGTGGATCACTTACTGCGCCAACGAGTAGACGCCGCATATGCCAAATTGGTGTATGCATTGACAAACGAGCCAACGAATAAGGAACTGGGCGACCATGCACAGGCGGAGCTGGACCGAGCGGTGACAGCCCAACAGTCCTTCGAGAAGGCTACAAGAACAAGGATGGCAATGCATCAAGTTGCAACCCAACAAGAATCGGAGGCGGTCAAGAGCAAGAAACAAACGCTTATGCCCAAGGACTTGCCGGCCTTCCAACTCCGCGGTGGACCCCTGCGGGACAAGAACAAGAAAGTCCATGAATCTGTCAAGGCATTTTTGAACACATTCGAAGTTCAGCTGAAAGCGCACGGACTACCAATCGAGGAACACTGGGAAAGGCTATTTTGGCTTACGTGCGACGACTTGCAACGGTCGTGGTTTGCCCGAACACTGGCAGACCGGAACTACACTTGGCATCAAGTACGATCCCAGTTAGAAAAGGCGTTTGGTAACCCTTTCTATGTTTGGAAAAAACGGTACGAAGCACGCAGCATGCGCCAGAAGAAGGGCGAGCAAATCCGCTTGTACACCGAGCGTTTCCAGGAGGTTGCGTTTGATGCCGGGCTCGAGGATGGCGAGGAGCTAGTATGGAATTACGTTTCGTCCTTGGTCAAGACCATCCGTGAACGAGCATGGCAGGTTATTACCAATGACTACGGGTTGAAACAGCCCAACAACCTTTCACAGGTTGCCCAGCTTATCATGACAAGCATTGGGGAAAATAATGAAGCCGAATCTGATTCGTCGTCGTCCGATGATGAAAAGGTCAAGGTCCAACACCCACGCAAGCGCGGCCACAAGGGTAATAAATCGTTGCACATGGCTCATGGTCTCCACCAGGACAGCAGCAAACGGTTCAAGAAAGGCAATTGCCGCCTTCATCCCAAAGGCAATCACAATGAGAGAGACTGCGATCTTCTCAAAACGTTGATCAACCGCAAAGGTCCAGGTTTCACAGGCAACAACAACAACAACAGCGCCAGTAATAACACAACCAACCTATGCCGGTATTGCAAGAAGGTGCCGTACACACCAGGCCACAAGTGCCAGGAATTTTTCTTGGTCAAGGGCAAGCAACAGCAACATCAACAACAACCGGTTTTGAAGAACCGAGCTACCTGCATCGAAACGGCGGAGATCGAAGATGCAAACGAGGAAGAAGGGTACAAGCTCAACGTAGATATGGCCCAGCTAGATTTACAATGTAAGACACATTTAAACAACAGAAGTTCCTCACAATCACAGGCACAAACTGACTCTATTATCTTACCCATGCTTTTACAGAAGAACAAGCATCTGGCCCTACTTGATACTGGAGCGAACGCATCCTATATAGACATCAACTTAGCCAAAAAATATAATTTTGTCATAAATAAAAGTCAGTCCACCGAACCTGTTAAACTTGCTTCAAAAAACAAAACTGCTCCCATATATGGAATTGTGAAGAACGTTCCAATTGTCTACGGTACCAAAGAACTTACACATAGTTTCTATGTCATGGAACTTGCAGATGAAAATTTACCCATCTCAGTAGGCATGAATCTTGCTCCTAAACTTGGTATTGGTATCACCGGTCTAGAGCACAACTTCCCGACTTCTGCGTATGCACAACAGGAAGAAAAGGAAACAGTTGTTAATGATGCACCCGAACCAAATAACTCACCAGCAGGAACAGTTCATGCAGGCAATTCAGCCTTATCTCGACGCCAACGCAAATATTCCCCCAACAGCGTTATGTACTCTGCCTGAAGCAGAAGTACGACTTGATATGCCAGAAGGATTGACATCTTGGCGTCGGCAGTATGATTTACCGATTGCACATACACAAACTGTGCGAGACACTATTAATACATGGTTAGAGAATGGAACTATAGTTCAAGCACCAGCTAACACTGGATGGAATAGCCCATTCACTCTCGCACCCAAGAAAGATGAATTCGGTAATTATACGAATGACAAACGTCGAGTCTGCCTTGACACTCGTCATATAAATAAACACTTGCAAAACATGGAACGTTATGAAATACCTTTGTGTCGGGATATTTTCTCGCGGTTACACAAGGCCAAGGTAATGACCACCATCGACATAACGTCTGCCTACAACAGATTACCCATCTATGAACCGCACAGACCTATCACATCCTTCACCTTCGATGGTGTACAATACATGCATCGCGGATGTTGCTTCGGAATCCGTCACATCTCATTTGTTTTCCAAAAATGCATGGCTACCTTATTTCAAGGGATGCAGGATCACGTGAGTAACTTCATTGATGATATCATCATATACTCAGACTCAATGGAGGAACACGCTAAACATGTGGCAGCGGTCATCGATAAACTCACCAAGGTCAACCTAGGGATCAGCATCAAAAAATCCCACTTTGCACAAACAAGTGTCTATTTGCTTGGCTTTTGCGTTTCTGACCACGGCATCACCTTAGATACAAGGAAGGTCACCAACGTACAGCAAATAGAGCGACCTCGTACAGGTAAA